TTGAAAAAAAAAATTAAAAAAAATAAAAAATTAAAAAAAATAAATTTTATTTCAAATAATTTTTAATTATGCAGTTATATATTTAAAAGAAAAATGTAATGGGCCTAAGCTTGCTTATCTGCAGCTTACTAAATATTCTCTCACATTTACCTGTTTTATAGCAATGATACTTCTGATGCCTCTGGACTTGCACAACAAGGAAACTAGAAAATTATTATTCTGATATAATGAGTTTTAATGTCTTGTTTTTATTAAATTTCTTCCTTGTTTAGATCTCATCTCATTCATACTAATTGGGTTTGTTTTGAGGCACAGTCTCAAAGTCTTCGTCTTTATTCCAGTTGCTCTCAACCTCGGCTACCCTTTAGAATTCAAAAAATACCAAGCATGCTCCATATCAAATAAATCAGAATTGCTGAGGGAAGGTCCCAGGCGTCTGTATTTTTAAAAGCTCCCCTGGTGATTCCAAGAGGGCCACCAACATAGACAACCATGGGCTTGCACACTGGCGTACTGTATGTGGTGACATTCCAGCTTTAAGAATTAACCCTAAATTTGGATTGGACATTTTTACCACTTCTAGTTCCAGTTCATTCGTCATTTGCTCAGCCAGTATTGACTGTGCACCTACTCTAAGCCAGGCACTGTACTAAACACTGGGTTTCAGCAGCAAACAAGATACAGCCCCGGGCCTTATGGAGAGGACAGTGCTGTGTCCTAGGTAGCACGTCAAAAATGCCTATTGTCTTGATGCCTTTGGGGGATTTCAGACTCCAGTTATTCCTCATTTTTATACATGGAGGATTAAAGAATGGTCTAGAGGTCTGAAAGTAGGAACTAAGCCATAGGAAAACGTTGGGGGCAGGCAGGATTTCCTACCTTTGCAGATTTGCCTTGTCCACATGACGCTTGTAGCCATTATTTCATTTTTATTCTTCCAAATGAACTTTTTTCCCACTTAAGTCTAAACCGGAAGGAAAACTGTCTCATCACTAAAAAATATTTTTTTATGAAACGAAGGAAACACAATAACTAAAAAGTATTAATCTGCATATCTCATCTGCCTAACCTCATCTGTGTGGCCCATCTTGAGACCACCAGGGTCATGTCTACCCTACTATGGAAAACACTGTTTTCAGGGGTTCTTAACTGTGTGTGTGTGTGTGTGTGTGTGTGTGTGTGTTTACATGTGTTTACCAGACCCTTTGGCATCTGGTAAACAGTATTCTCAAGATAATATTCTTAAAAGTATAAAATACACAAGATTACCACATTTTTTAATTTTTTTTTTTTCAACGTTTATTTATTTTTGGGACAGAGAGAGACAGAGCATGAACGGGCGAGGGGCAGAGAGAGAGGGAGACACAGAATCGGAAACAGGCTCCAGGCTCTGAGCCATCAGCCCAGAGCCCGACGCGGGGCTCGAACTCACGGACCGTGAGATCGTGACCTGGTTGAAGTCGGACGCTTAACCGACTGCGCCACCCAGGCGCCCCAAGATTACCACATTTTCCTACGTACCAAGTGCTATCAAGGAGATACACCCCTTAAATTCTGTTCTGTGGACTCCAGGTTAAGAATCTCTACTAGTTGGTTAGCAGATGCAATAATGGTTTTGGATCCCAACGCTTTTTGTACGCCGTAAGAATCCCTCCCCTCTATTTTCCATCTGTGGAGTTAACACTTAGGAAAAAGGAGAAAGGTGATCACTGTGGTTGCAGCAGCTTTTGTCTTCTGACTTCTCTTGAGAGTGTTACCTTTATAAAACAAAGTGTTCATGCACATGGGCTGACCTTTTTACGTAGTGGTGATTTGGGGCATTTCTGCTAGTAACATTCATTTACAACTGAGCATCACTGAAACACTTTTTTTGTCAGTCTCAACTATGGAGGAAATGGTATAAGGTTAAGATTTGGGGCTTGTCAACTTTGCTAAATCTAAGCCTTAGCCTTTGCTGCGTATTTAACATTGAAGTTCATTGGGACATCTGGTTGACCTCTGTAATGCAGAATGAAGTGATTAACTGTTTTCTTCAAGATTCCATTAGGGCCAAATATATTATTCATAAAGAAAAATAAAATCCTACGAAGAAGAAATTATAGGCATGAAATCATCCTGAGAACCAAATCAGAGATCAGCTTATGATGAAACAAATGCTCTACAGCCTGACTTGCCCTGTTTGCTATCAAGTTAGTCTACTGGGAACACAGCCGCTAGCCAGAGTGAACCCGAGCAAGTCCTGTAAGCAGCCAAAAGGACACAAACTGATATAGCCATGCCCTTCCTTCTGATCTTTGCTCAGAGTCTACTGACTCTTGTTTTATTTTTATTTTTTTTTAATTTTTTTTTTCAATGTTTATTTTATTTTTGGGACAGAGAGAGACAGAGCATGAACGGGGGAGGGGCAGAGAGAGAGGGAGACACAGAATCGGAAACAGGCTCCAGGCTCTGAGCCATCAGCCCAGAGCCTGACGCGGGGCTTGAACTCACGGACCGTGAGATCGTGACCTGGCTGAAGTCGGATGCTTAACCGACTGCGCCACCCAGGCGCCCCTACTGACTCTTGTTTTAGACATCAGTTTGGTAATCTGGTCTTTCAGCAGTTGATTGGAAGCAATAAGTCAGAAGGAAGGTGCTTCTTCCACCCAAAGCCATTCAGATTGGGGAAAAACAAAATAAAATTAGATAACAATAAGAAGAAAACAATCTATTTCTACAAAGCAAACAGAAGAATTCATAAAGCTTAAAATTTTGAAACTATTTGCCATAAGGACAAGTGGTCTAATCTGCCTCAACAATCCCCTAATGGCTCCATTGCTAGGACACTAGTGGATGGTAGTTATTTAAAACGACACTTCTGGGGCGCCTGGGTGGCGCAGTCGGTTAAGCGTCCGACTTCAGCCAGGTCACGATCTCGCGGTCCGTGAGTTCGAGCCCCGCGTCAGGCTCTGGGCTGATGGCTCAGAGCCTGGAGCCTGTTTCCGATTCTGTGTCTCCCTCTCTCTCTGCCCCTCCCCCGTTCATGCTCTGTCTCTCTCTGTCCCAAAAATAAATAAACGTTGAAAAAAAAAAATTAAAAAAAAAAATAAAACGACACTTCTTTGTCAACAAGCAAAATATATTGCCTTTAATGTGCTCTGCATAAGTTTGTGGGAGGGTGGTGCACTGTCTTGAGAATAATGTCCACTAGAAGGTGATATTATTTTAATACTCAGCACTTACATAGTAAGATTTATTTTATCTTATGTGGAGCATCTCACTTTCTGATGTTACAAAATCAGTATTATGTAGTACCAAGAAGAGGATATGTGGTTGATTGATCAGAAAATAGTACAGAATGGTGTATAATCCCGAAGATAGAATATTATCTTCTGGGTTTGGAGAAAAGTGATCATCATGCTTCTATGCTCTAGTTTGATTTCGCTGAAAAAAATTGGCCTCTCTATCTTTTTTTAATGTTTATTTATTTATTTATTTATTTATTTATTTATTTATTGAGAGAGAGAGAGAGAGAGAGAGAGAGAGGGACACACAGAATCCAAAGCAGGCTCCAGGCTCTGAGCTATCAGCACAGAGCCCAATGTGGGTCTCGAACTCACAGACCACGAGATCATGAACTGAGCGGAAGTTGGACGCTTAACCTACTGAGCCACCCAGGCACCCCAGGCCTCTATATTAATGTAGAAACACAAAAGAGTTTTGGGGAAGGGGCAAAATTTTCCATTTAAAAGTTAAACATTTGGGCTTATTGACTTATGTAATAGCTATGGTTCTTAAATTGTATTTCACCTGTGCAATTTTTAATGGAAAATATTAGAATGTTTCTGTTTGTTGCCCGTGATCCAGGTGGGAAAGCCAAAATCGCCAGAGCCAGAAGCAACCCTGATGTATCCATTTCTGGACAAAATGCCTGAAACCAACCAATTACATTTGCCAAATCTCAATTCTCAAGGTAAAATGAAAGAAATATTTTATTAGCTCTGCCTGTTCTCCTGGGCCCATCTGCAGTAAAATATTCTTTCTTTTAAAGGAAGACTACCTCCTTTATGTTAACATCCCTTTAGCCATGGTGTTTGCAAGAATCCGTGGTGGCTAAATTAAACAACTTCAGAATGGAAATCTGGGATCGCACTATGTGGCCCAGCCAGAAACCCGGCTACTGACACTGTTTTGTCAGCCCGGCGCTGTAGGCACAGTAGGACCTACACAAGTGTTTGATACCTTAAAAGAATTTTATTGGCTCCAAAATGTTTTTTAAAATTACAAAATAAAAAATCAATCACTTTAATAAAAAGTTTATCATCTTAATGGTTATGTCAACTTCATTAACTGTTAATTATCTCATCTTTTCAAAATACTCATTTCCTTTGACAATTTGACTCCTTTGGAAGAAAATCAGATTTTCTTACTCCATAATAATTCCCGGGTGTGCATGACGATTACTGAGAAGTCATTCACAGTCATAGATTAAACGTGTTCTGCAAACTCCCCAGGTAACTCACAGGCCATGTACAGGTTGTGAATTTACCCCTTTACTCTTTAATAAGAGTTCCACTTGAATCTCTTTATCCTTGTGAAAAACTCAGGTGCCCACAACCACCAGAAAGGAGCCTTAGGGGTGTGAACAGGATAGGGGAGTGTCCTGAGCATTCCCTGCCTGTTCTGCAAAACAGATAGACTACTGGGCATTACTGGTGTGAGTTCTCTCTCCAGATGTGAAAACAGCTAGAGTTTAGGAGGCAAGAGCGCTGAGGTTTCTTGTTTATCTTTTTTTAATGTCCTCTTCCCAGTACACTTTATAGATTTATCAGCTCAGGCAAAGAGAAGACGGTACAGGGTCATTGTGGCCGGGGATTTATTTTTACTTTTTTCTTTTCAAGGATGGGCAGCTATTTGGGGCCACAATTGGCAGAATCTCGGTTGGCTTCCTTTAGCCCTGGTTGATGGCTGGGTGATAAGGTGGGCTCTATTTGTATAACAGGAAGTACTTTGGAGGGAATTAATCAGTACATACACTGATGATCTCTGGTTCCTTAATGTGGAAAAAAGTTCAATACTGCCTTCCAAGCATTTGTTTTAAATTTGTCAGCCCTACTGTCCTGAGGGGAATTGACAAAAATAAAGTCTTCTAACTGGGCCAGCAATTGACCATATTTAGACAGGTTTTAATCCTGCCCTATTTCTACCACTTTTTAATTGTGTGGAGAAGTAATAGAGAGAGGAAGTATATATTTTAAGCCATCTTTTTTTTTTATTTTTTTTTTAATTTTTTTTTTTCAACGTTTATTTATTTTTGGGACAGAGAGAGACAGAGCATGAACGGGGGAGGAGCAGAGAGAGAGGGAGACACAGAATCGGAAACAGGCTCCAGGCTCTGAGCCATCAGCCCAGAGCCCGACGCAGGGCTTGAACTCACGGACCGCGAGATCGTGACCTGGCTGAAGTCGGACACTTAACCGACTGAGCCATCCAGGCGCCCCATAAGTAGCCTTTAAATAATCTGAAAACATTCACAGAATACATTTGAAGGTGACAGTTTTCCTTTTCTCAACTATCTCCCAGCAGTTCAAAGATATATTTGTGTTTTGGGAAAATACGTGCACATTTTAAAACTGATGTCTTTGAACTGAGAATGATGTGAGAGTTGCACAGGGCCCAGTTTAAGGATGTAAATGCTGACCATGAGCTTGTGTCTATACAGACAGACATCTACACATCCTTTTGCTACACACATGCATAACTTTGGCCTCAGACTTCCATACATACGCTTTATAAAGGATAGAAAAGAATCATTGAACTGATCTCTGCTGTCTTTTATACTTTCCCAGTGTTCTCCAAAAGCAATTTAAACTGTGCGTTTTGGTCTTGCAGAGCGTATCATCCTATCATTTGAGATTTAACTTTTAACAGTATCACCATTAAGTATGCGCCTATAAAATTTCACCTAACGCCAAGGAAGACCAACCACGGCAGGAACTGTCCCATTTCTACTGGCTTTTGTCCATGTCTTCAGGTTTTGTATGAGTTTTATTGGGATATTTTGTACTCTAGAGTCCCTCCTTCTCAACTCTTGTATCGACTACAGCCAAACGTCCTTCAGTACTTGAGAGCGTGGTTCTATCGAATTCTCACCCCGTCCTCATGGTTTTCTGTTTGTTCTGTTCTGCCATCTGATCTAGAGTCGCCTGGCATTGCCAGTGTTCCGCTTAGAGTTCAGAACTCTTGGCGACGTTCCCAGTTTTTCTCCCAGTCAGGTAAAATGCATACTGGGTAGCTGTATCTCTTTTGTGCAAAAATCCATGTTGGGGGCAGCCGATACTGTCTGGTATTCTTCATTTCTGATTTCAGAAAAAAAAAAAAAAA